TTCCTTTTGTAGCTTTGCTGCCAGCCTGATTGTCACCTCGACATTTTTATTTCTTCAGTATGTGTGACCTAACGGTCGACACTGTCAAGGCAATGCATTGCCAAGCCCTCCGCGGCCAGCTTTCTCAGCGCGGCTTGAATCCGAAAGGAAACTGAGTAAAAGTATTTTACAAGGCCGTTTGCTGCCACAGCCAGCCCTTGGTAGTGAGGTATGCTCCGGCCAGGAGAACCAGCAACATGACAGTGCGGACACGGCTCGCGAGCCCAGAAGCCTGACTGGCACCAATGCCTTCTCCGTCAGTTCAGGTCACGCGGGCTCAACGGATCTCTGTGCTCTCGTACGGGACGAGGTGTAGTCGGCTTTGTCGGCCGCCAACACTTCCGGCCCAACATTTTGGCTGGTGCACAGCCCGAATAACGATGGCCAGCTAAATATCGTTGAGTTGGATGACGCAAAGCAGGTGCGTCGCAAGGTTCACGATATAGCTACCCGGCTCGAGGCATGGACCGCATACATGTCTGTTATGACGGCTGCTGCCCCACACCGCACTGCTGATCTACTAAACTGATTGCGTACCAGCAGTTGATCCAGACTGCTAACCGCCAGTTCTTCCCAAGCGCGTGGCTAGAATACGACCGCCAGCTGCGGATGCTCGTGGCCCAGTAACCAGGCACGAAGAGGTTGGACACCGTCGACGTAAACCTATGGCTGACAGCTTTCACAGGCCATGCACACCCAAAACATGCTCAATGTAAGACGCTGTTTTTCGTCCCCAATCTCAATTCCCCAAGCCAGCAGCATGTACCTCCAGTGGTCGCACCCATACCAGCGACGGCCACGAAATCTGCCGCAACTTCAACGGAGGTCGCTGTTCTTCGTCGTCGTGCGGCTTCTCCCACACCTGCAGCCAGTGTGGCAAGGACCACCCATGCATCAGGTGCAACCAGCAGCAGTGCAGAGCCAATCGGCCACCCCGCCGCTCCTAGCAGAATGGCTACTGAATCGCTTGACCTCGGTACGTAGCTTCTTCCCTATATACTCTGCAGACACCACACTGCTAGCTGACCACTTTGGCTGCCTATTACGTAACCACCCAGATCAATCATGTGTTGCGTATGTTCTCCATGCCCTGGATCATGGTTTTGCTCTTGTATCTGCCGGCAAACATTTCGGTTTTCTCTAATAATCTGCCCCCGGCTTTCACTCATCCGGCATATATTTCCGAGCAATTAACTGCTTCCTGCGCCTGCAGCGAGACCGCAGGCCCATTTCTGTCACCTCCATTTCAGTTCATGCGCTGGAATTGGTGCTGTCCCCAAAAAAGAACGGCGAGCTGTGAATGATCCACCATCTGTCCAGTCCGGAAGGCATCGGCGTGAACGACAGCATTTCTGCCGAGCCGCGATCAACATCATCACGTCATGCCCACAGCCGGTTTATTTGTCCAAGCTCGATGTACGCAGTGCATTTCGGCAGATCACAGTCCGCCATCAGGACTTCTCTGGGAAGGCTCCAACTACTATGAGCGCTTTCGGCCTTTCGGCCTTCGCTGCAGCCCAGCCATCTTTGACTCATTAGCCACAGCAATCAACTGGACATGCAGCACGAGTTTGCTATAGATCACCACCTTCATTACCTCGAGGACTTTCTTGATATCTCCACTGGTTTGGTTGCAGCCAACCAGCAACTGACCATCCCCCTCCGGGTATTCATGTAAATCGGCATTCCTCCTTGCTACTTCCAAGCTTGAAGGGCCATCACCATCATTGACCTCCCTAGACTGCGAGCGCCATGAAGCTCGGCTACCAGAGGACAAGCTGTTCGAGATCCGTGCGCCACTCATGGCTACTATCAGCGAGCGCAGCATCGGCCAGCGTCAACTCGAGTCCCTCCTGGGGAAGCTCACTTTTGATGCCCAAGTCATCGTTCCTGGATGCACATTCATGCTTCATCTATGATCAGTGTGCCCTGAACTGTATCTGTGTATGTGAGTGCGGTGCCTAAAGCCCATCTTGAGAATGGGTTTGCCGGCCCCTTAGTAGATGCGTGGCTTCTGAAGAGGGTGATGAAGGGCATCCAGCGATGCCATGGTACGGCTGTACTCATCCCTCGCCTACCTATCACTATGCCAGTCCTACGACACATGATTGATGCACGCCGGAAAAGTAGTATCCTGAATGGCCATGACAAGCTGCTCTACCAAGCCGCCATGCTGATAGCGTTCTTTGGATTTCTTCTGTGTGCCGAATTCACTAATGGCATCACACGGGGCTGCACTAGCTCCCCGGATGACGGACACCTGCAACTCTTCCTGCTTTCATCCAAGACGGACCCATTCGGTAAAGGCGTTTCCAGTGACATTGGCCCGACTGTACCGCTGTACCGCCCGGTTGGTGCCATGGTTAGCTACCCATTTGTCACTCGTCGCGAGAGACTGGAGCAACTCTTGTTTGTACTCTCGAGCGGACAGCAGCTGACCAGGCAGTCATTCACAGTAACA